CGATCGTACAAGGAAGCATACAAACGCTGGCAAAAGACACGGAGCCCAGAAGACTACGCTGCCTACAAGAGCTGCAAGCGACTCGCTAAGGCAGCCGTTGCTAAGGCCAAGAATACGGAAATAGGACGCCCTGTACGTCCACCTGGAAGGCCGAGAAGGGGACAAGTTCGTCTTCCGCTTGGCTAAAGCTCGACATCGCGCGGCTCAGGACATCAGGGTCGTAAGAACTGTGAAGAGCATCAACGGGGCCATTCTCAGGAAACCAGCCGAAGTCAGAAAGAGATGGAAAGAGTACTTCAAGGGACTACTGAACGAAGAATTCTCCCGCAAGGATAGCCCACAGATAGAAGCAACGGCAGGACCCATCAGGACTCCCATAGACACAGATGAAGTCCCGCAGGGGACGGCTAGGGAGAATGAAAGTTGGGAAAGCAGTGGGTCCAGACGGAGTACCGATAGAGGCATGGAAGGCTCTGGGAGAGCTTGGAGTGAGTTGGCTAACAGACTTCCTAAAACAATGCGTTACGCGCTGAAGGAAATATGCCAGTACGCACGTGGAGGAGCAGCACACATCCGTCACATATCTCAAGCAGATAAAGATGCCGACGACTGAGGTGCTGCCCAAGTACCCGGGCATCAAGCTGACCGTACCCCTATACCATGAAAGCTGCTACGACGGCGCCTGTCAGAACACTAGGCTGAGAGAACTTGTCCCTATCTCGCAGGAACAGTTCGGCTTCATGCCCGAAAGGTCCACCACTGACGCCATCTTCATCGCCAGACAGCTGATGGAGAAGTACCGAGAGAAGCGCGACCCTGCTACCTAGCCTTCCTGGACCTTGAGAAGGCATTCGACCGCCTGCCTCGGCCTGTACTCTGGAGAGCGCTCAGAGAACGTAACGTTCCGGAGCACCTGGTCTCCATAGTAAAGGATATGTACGATGGAGCTAAAGCAGCTGCACGCACCCCGCAACGGTTCGAGAGGTATATATATCACGTGGGGTACACCAACGATCAAGCCCTCAGCCCGTTCCTCTTCCTCCTGACTCTAGATGTCATGGCAGAAGAACTCATGGAGGGACCGCTGAAAACCATCCTCTACCTGACGACATCGCCCTGATAGCAAGATGTGCTCGCTGAGAATGGACTCCGGTTGAACGTGAAGAAAACCAAGTTCCTGAGCTCTGAAGAGTGTAGCGAACCCATCGTAGACCGTCACGGCGAGAGCATCGAAAGGGTCGAGGACTTCCAGTACCTGGGGAGCACCTAGCAGCTGATGGCAGCGTGGACCAGGCGGTGACGGCCCGAATCAACGCAGCCTGGATGAAATGGAGGGAGTCCACTGGCATCCTGCGACCGGCGGTGCTCGAGAACACTCAAGGGCAAGGTGTACCGGGCGGTGGTAAGGCCTACAATGCTCTACGGCAGTGAGTGCTGGCCCATCTGCAAGAACCATGAAAGGCAGCTCCACTCAGCTGAAATGAGGATGCTGAGATGGGCGTGCGGTTGGACGACTCGACAGAGTCAGAAACGAGGATGTCAGGGCGGTCACACAGACGGCCCCGATCCAGCTGAAAGCACGAGAGCAGCGACTGCGATGGTATGGGCACGTACTGAGGAGGCCTGAAGACCACCCAATAAGGAAGGCATTGGAATTCGAAGTAGAGGGCAAGCGACCACGAGGAGCCCCAAAGAAAAGATGGAGGGACGTCATCAAGAAGGACCTCACTGAAGTGAAAGCCACGGCAGAAGATGCAGTGGATCGGAACAAGTGGCGACGTCTAACAAGAACAGCGGACCCTGCGACGGCGCGGGACTAACGCTAGGGAGAAGAAGAAGAAGAAGAAGACTGTAGCCCCTCATCGATCAGTGTGTCCCGGTCAAAATAACGACCCATTTCAGTGAGTCATATCCCATCATCAGAAACCTTTATCTTCAACGTGAAAGGCTATTCTGAGTGCTAGATAATCCCTTGTCATCAGCAGAATATAAAGGAGTAAATAAAGATTCCAGTTTCATCTAAGAAGATATTTTGCATTCAAAGAGAGAAAAATGGCGAATAACTATAAGATCGATAATATCGCAATATGAACGCTTTAGCCTATATTAGTGAGCGACTTAGTAAAAAAAAACTATCTTCATGCTTTTATGATCATATTTACATCTCCTCACAACCGCTCCCGAGAAAACGAATGTTTTAAGGTGAATGCTTTGCTGCTGTCTTTACGCCATCTGAAAATGGTGGACGCAGCTTTCTTTCCCTGTCGCGTTTGGTCGGACTGCCCTCTGCTTGTAATAGACCCGATCCAAGTCTATAAGTGGGTGTGGGTCGATTCTATCGTCGACAATAAGTGGGTCACCGCGCTGGTGGGCGGGGCGTACGAGTTTTCCTGCGTGGCATTCAAATTGTTAAAGGGCTGACGATCCCTTTAACAATTTGAACGCAGCAGCAAATCAATTTGACAGAGTCGTCCTATTCAGTGATCTTCTCCTATTCCTTCAAGTGCTTAATGGCTTTGTTTTTCCAGCAAGAAAATAAATGTGAACAAGTCGCTTAGGCCCCTCCTGGCCTTTTTCAGTAGTCTTGTTCATCGGTTGACTTTTGTTTGGCTAATACAATTATACGCGTTATTGGGTCTGTTGTACACTTACTCCCCATCTTCCTGGACATTCTCGAACCGCTCTTGACAGCTCTCAATTTTGTTTATTCTTGGTTTTGTCGTGTTTATTTTGGAAGTCACCTTCAATCATGAGCATTAGTCATATCTCGTCACTTGAATATAATTGTCTTTTCGAAAATATACGATAAAGCCTTATCCTTCCGATATGTTTGTTGCGTGGAAGACAAAACGGAGGTTTCGTCGTGGAGTATCGGCGATGAAACTTCCCTTATTATTAAATATATTTTATATGATGTATTCTTTGTTTAATTACTTATTTCTTCTTCCAGTCAGAAGAAATTCTCGCACTGCCCTCCTTCCATTTCCAAATTCATTGCTCGTGACGTTGTCGGTTTTTTTTGAAGTGTATACGTGTCGTAAAATGTTTTTGGGATTATGCGGCACTTGTTTCCTTGTTCTCTTCAAGCGAAGCCCTCAACTCATGTATATTCACGTTTTCAGGGTAACCATTTCACAACCTAACCATAAACCAGGCGGGAAGCACTAGAGGTATGCAGTAAAAACTCGAGTTTTGATTTTAGTATTTTATTGTTAGTTTTGATTTTGGTATTTTAGTGTTGGCTATACTCCTGCGTGCTTTATTTCTGTTTTATTCTCTTTTTATTTTCTATTTAAGAACACTGCAAACGTTTCACTTGCTTGTCACGGTCGAGTGAAGCTTTTCCCTTTGTCAAAACATCAACTATTTTGGTGAAATGATTCAGAAACACTGGAGAATGAGAAACCAGTCCCGCCCACCCTCTCTCCCCCCGCCTAAGAAGAAAAATTTTGATCCTTGCTCGTGGTCGTTATTCGCACCTTCTGGTACAAAATAGCGTGGAAAGCTAGGCCTGAAACATTGCATGGCTTATAAATGGCTTATAGATGTTATATCTGTTTACAGGTTGGTCCTGTTTCATCAGTTACAATTTTTCCAGCGATTTGCTTATTGTTGAGGACTTTCTGAGAGAGGTAAGATTCTTTCACGATGTTTGCTACAGTTGATTTGTGTACAGTTGATCTCCGCATATCATTATATGAATGATGGGTCTTTTTAAGCATTTGTGAACGCTGTTCGGCATAAGGGGGGCGGGGGAGGGGTAGGTAGATAGTTGCGCTTTCGTAGTTTCTTTTGCTAAATCCTGCTTTGTTGCATGACTGACCTTGTGAGACCTGTAGACTCTTGGCAAAGGCAGACGAAGTTGCTGCAGCATTGCTGTACAGGAATTTACAGGTCTCCACATGATCAGTAGCAACCAGCTAAAAGCCTCCACTAACAAGAACTGCGCCCATTAGAGTAGGATAAGCCGCGCAATCAAGGAGACTGAAAGGAAAGTACCTCTAGTCATACAATCCTGTTCGCAGCGGATTATGGGGTGTCAGCGCGACTGCATTTGGCACGCTGCCGGCCCGTTCCCCCCTCCACCTGTTGAAGCGGGTGGCGGCAACAGGAGACGGCGGAAAAGGACTGATATGAGCCATGTGGTACAGTCTAAAACTCGCCGAGAGAAAAAAGCGGAGTGGCCCAACCAAACACAGCCGCGCTGACACGCCTCATTCTCCGCGGCAAACAAGACTATAAGTTGAGCGTACTGCAGCGCAATTGTTCTTATTGTAGACCATTCAAGGCCACTACCAATCGAGGTTTCATATGCCTTTTTCAGGCTTATCGAATTGCATCAAATAATGTTCTGATCTCATCAAACATTCGAATTGCCATTCCTGCTGTACCATACAATGTGGATTCAGCCATAGCGAGACTAATTTTTGACATTAAAACCTTAGATGCTCAATGATTTTGTTGACCTTTTTGAATAAAGTGTCATTTATTGGCAATTGTTTCTGGTTCTGGTACGTTCAAAGCACTCATATCTCCTTATGCATCTTAATACACTGCGACTACTGTTTAGCATCACAGAAGGCAATGATTTCAGAATGTCAGCATTCTTTCAATCTCAGGAATATACTCCACTTGAAGAAGAAGAGAATGTTACTAGTCTAGAGTGAGTGCCTTTTCCACCCTTTTTTGTGAGAAATTAGCCTTGATATTGACATTCCAGACCTGTTCTTAAATCACTTAAAAGCAAAGCAACTGGCCTCAACTACGCAGGTGTCCATCATGACCGAAGGTTTGTTAGAGTCTCTGAAAGAGCGTTCATGTATGGCAATAGCGAGACTCTGTGTAGAGTTGTTTTCCAAGGTATAGATCTAGTAATTTGGTTTAGATTTCTTAATGGGGGGGGTCAATTTCCTTTGTACTAGCATAGCAAAGGATATCCTATCAAACTTCGGCCATCTAATGACATTTGCGGCGCAATTTACCCTTTGTGTCGAAATATTCCGAAATCAAGCCTATTTCCCAAATCTTTCAAAATCAAGCCTGTTTCTCAACGACGGAGCAGTGCGGCAACGGAGGGGGAGGGCATTTTTCACTTTTGCTACTTCCTATCGACGACTCATGTAAAGAGCCAGTGAGCTTACGAGGATTGACATCTTGTACCGTGGTGGCTCTACGAGCTTAGACCAGCTCCACTACAGGTTTACGAGGTCACCAAAGTACCATAACATAGTAAAGCTGAAAGCAGCACAGGTAATTGACTGTGCGAAGATCTTTACCCCCCCTCGTCGCTGAACTGCGCCTTCAACGATTTCTTCCTCCATCAGCACATTTCGTTGAAATTTTAAGTTCACGTGTTGTAGGATATCCTGAACACGCATCGCTTAGCATGAAAAGGCGACACAAACGGCATCGAAAGCAACGACACCATAGGCATCTTTTGACCGCAATGGGTTAAACAAACATGTCGAGACTAGATACCCTTCAGCGTGGCGTGTGTGATGCTGTGCTTCCTTTTTCCCTTCCTAACCCTAGGCAAAGGAAGGAAGGCATCCTTTTTTTCGCGGGAAGTGTGCAGGCAAATATTTGACATTTCCTATGGTTTTCGAAAAGAAGTACTGCAACTTCTTAGGAATTTTCTATTGTAGGGTTCGACGACATGATCGCGTTACGGCTGCCTGACCGTTGCCGCATACAACCAACAACAAAGAAGATGAATGTCTCTAGGAAGCAGATCCTCAATAGCAGAACAGTCGAGAAGAAAGAAAAAGATCAAAAGTGATTGTACTGTTCGCTTGTTTTGCTTTTCGTGGAAATTTCTGGTTCAGAAAAGTTCTGGTTTCCTCTCTGCCTATTGTTTCAGTATCCTTTCCTTTTTCTCAGCACTACTATATCGCTAGATTCAATTTTTGATCGCTATATGTAAAGTACTGGTTATAGCAACTGACTTTTCGAGAACATTCAAGGCCAGTTTTTAGTTCGCATCGTTTTTAGAGAAGTTATTTCCGTGGGTGAGAATAAAGGTGTATTTCAATGCTGTATTATCGTAGAACATATGACCGTTTTTTCAACGATCGCTAGTTCAACCCCAGTAGCGAGATACTGCCACTGCGGTTCACAATCTAGTTTGTCATTTGTCACACGGTGACAAATGCATAGGAATCCCAGAGTGTGATTCTAAATTAGTCACCACTTTTCTGTGGTATTCCTGTCTCACTATCAGATAGCAAGACAAAGCCAGCCGCCGTTTTGTGTTTCCTGCCTGGGGGTGCAGCCACAGTTTTTTTGATATTCAGTTCGAGAAAAGAAGGTGAACTACTAGTGTGGAACTTCTTGGTTTCTCAGTTGTTTCTCACTCAAGAAAACGCTACCTAGATGGGTCTACATATCTATGGAAAGCAAAATGCCCCCCGTCGATACTGCGCCCTGCGGGCGTCTCAGGAGAGTTATTACGTGTGGGACGGCACCAGCCCGTTCTACACCAAAAGTTGAAGCGGGCAAGTGGTAATGATTGAGGGAAAACAGGGCCAAACCGGCCCCTGATACGCTAAAGCATCTGAGCGGTAACGGTTAGACTGGGAGGACGAAATTTTGTATTTTCGGTCACCCGACATCTTGAACTTTTGCGCATGTTCCAGTTCGAGAGAATGCTACGATGGGGTCCAAGTTAAAAAAATCACATGACAACTCTTGTAGATATTTCAGCACTTAGAAAAAAACAGTTTCGTAGGAATGTTGCCAAGGGTGAGCATAGAAACTGAATCACAATGAGTGACAGAAGAAATAATTGGAAATACAGGGACGCTGTGCTGGATTCTAGCAGTCTACGATGGGGTTCATGTTGAAAAATTACATGACAACCCTCGTAAATATGCTAGAACTGAGAAAAAACAGCACAACGAGAGTGGTCACGTTAAAGTAAAAATATAAAAATGTGAATCCCGAGTAAAAAATGTAGAAATCAGCAAAATACAGCAGAACAGGTCAAAAAATGCTGGCGCCGAATATCAACAATACAGCAGTGAATAGTATATGGTGACTTTGTTGCTGTAGAGGAATTTAAAGAACTTGCGCTAGCAAGACTTCCTACGATGTGGGTCGAGGACGCCGTGAAACAACGCTAATCCTTTGCTCCAGTGACAACTCGGGAGTACGGTAATGCCAGGCAGTAAAACTCGTACGCCCCGCCCACCAGCGCGGTGACCCACTTATTGTCGACGATAGAATAGACCGGGACCCGAACAAATTAGGTCTCAGTATGCAAAGAGGGTTGAACATACTTGCGGTCGATAGTTTGTCGTCGGTTTACTCGTAACGCTTTCAATTTTCGCGCCCCTCGCTTCCATACAATCATCATATAAGATCTGAAATGATAACGGAAGGGTCGAAGAATAAAGTTTCCAGCGCTGACTTCCCTTTTAGAATGTACCCGTAGACTACCTCTATTCAGAGCCGTAGTTGCTTCCAGAACGCTTCCATCTACAATGACTTCCTGGGATAGCCAGTGCAGAAGTCATTATTTTTGTCCCCCCAGATGAGTCTG